CCCCGGTCTAGGCATGCGCACAGCATCCGACCCAACCCCCTCCGGCCCTGAACCCCAATTCTGAACGTGCAACCCCGCTAAGCCTCCTTTGCATCCGGGTCTCAGGCCCGCGGAGCGGTGCAGGGCGCGCGCCGCCAGACCTTCCGCTGCAGCTCCCAGGCACTGATGTAGTTCTTGCCCAGCTGCGCCGCCAGCAGGTACCCGCCGTTGAGCAGCGCCAGACCGTGGGGCCCGGCCTGGCCGCCGCGGTACGTGAGCAGGTTGGCGCCCGAGTGCAGCTCCCACACGACACAGCTCCACAGCTGGCCGGCCGAGTCTGTACACACGGCCACCTCCATGGGCGCCGCCATCTTGCCGGGCCCCCGCGGCGGAAGTGCGCTCCGCGCAGCGAGACGCCGGCGGCAGCGGCGCGCGGGCTAGAGAGGCACGCACGCCGCCGCGCCCCGGGAGGCCGCGCGCGCGGGCGCCCCTGCTGGCCGGGCGGTCCAGGGACGGGGATGACCACTGGAGGGAGGGGAAGGTGGAGCGGTTAGTGACCCTGGAGGCCTCCTTCTCCGGAAAGCAGCTGGCGAAAAGAGGACCAGGCTGCGAGCAACTGGTAGCGTCCGGATTTCGAGTGACCCAACTTGTGGATTCTACCTTTGCAGGCGGCCCTCACGAGGCACGCGGTCGCTCATGCAGCGCGCACATCTGGTCTGTGTCCCCCCCACTGTTTCGGGTGCACTGCCATGAACTAAACGCGCCCATCGACAGCCTGCCCTCCCCAGACGGCCGTAATGCGCGGCGTGGCAAAATTCAAATGTCTAATATGTGCACCTCAAACGCGGGCCGGGGCCCGAACACCGCCTGACTTGCAGACCCGCGTCTGAAAGTTTGGGTGTGTTTTGGGTTTTTTTTTTAAGCCCACGGCCGTCCCGGGTCAGCTGTGCCCACCAGCAGTGTCGCACCGGACTGCATTCGCGGTGCGATTTAAGCCCACCTGCAGGCAGCTCAGGGCGGTTAGCGGTGCGTGCGCCCTACGGGGAGGGGGGGACCAGGGGTCTTTCCTCCGCAGGGCGGGGGGCTGTGCTTTGAAACTTCAACGTGCGGGGCATGCAGTTCCGTCATGGACATCAGGGGGCAGGCGAGAGCCATGGACCAGGAGCAGCGGGGCGGGGAGCGGGGTCCCGAGGGGATCGTGAGGGGTCGTCCTGGAAGAGGTCCATCCGGGCGGGCGTGTGCCAGGTAAGGGAAACAGCTCGTGCCAGGGCCTCTGGGGGCCTAGTGCGCCCTGGAGGTGCGGGGCTTGATCCTGGAGCCGGAATAATGGGAGCGCTGGTAAGCCCAGGAAGGCAGGGTGCCCTGGTCTCCAGCAGCTCTGAGGCCTGGAACAGGAGGCCCGTCTGCCCTGGTGTGAAGAAGGGTTGAAACTAGAGCTAGCCGTTCCTGACTTCCAGCGCAAAAGCGGGACTGGCGGATGCCCCAGGGTCCTTGTAGCCTAGGTTGCGAAACTTACTGGTTCTACTGCCCACTTCTCTGGAATGAATGAATGAATAATATATCAGGAATAATATATATCACCCCTCTTGCCAACTCTCTCCTGTAATCCAAAATAAAGGGTCTCTCTCTCGCTCCTTGCCATGGAACCGATGCCACTCGCAGCGATCCCATAGCACAGGGTGGAACTGCCCCTGTGGGTTTCTAAGACTGTAACTCCTACGGGAGCAGGAAGTCTGCTGGCTTCAGACCCTCCACTACACCTCCAGGCTGGAGGTGGGTGTTAGGTGCGGACCAGTGGGTTCTGAACCCCAGTGCCCCGGTATACAGCAGGACCTGGTGCCCTGTGCCATCCTCTCTGCTGTTCTTGTTTAAGCCCACAAGGCCAGCATTTCAAATCCACCAGGCGCTCTGTGGGAGACAGAGGAGGCTTTCGGCTCCTGGCAAACCCCCAGGGGCCATTCTCCTCTGTCCAGTCGGAATCCGCTGGATGGCAGTGAGGGTCAAGGGTCAGTACCTGCCTGTGCAGCTCCCTAGGCAGGGCACCCCGGCTGAGAGCCAGAACACCTGGAAGGGCCTGGTTGCCTCCCCAGGGGTCCCCGTGTGGGTCCCCGGGTCTGTGGCCAGTGCTGCTCCCAGGACTCGCATACAGTGGCTTCTGAGAGAGCTCCAGGCTGCCAGTCCTCCGAACACAGGCGCTGCCTAGAACCGGGGCTCCGGTTGAAGGCGCCCTGCGCGGCATCTGGAAGCAGCTCTGCCTCCCTCCAGGCCTCGGGTTCCCTGGGCCGGTGGGGGCGTATGAGAGGCCCAGGAGATGTGGGGTCCAGCAATGTGGGCCCTGGGCTGGGAGGGGACTGACGGCGGCAGGAACAGCTGCAGCCGGGCCCAGTCCCTCTCCCCTCTGCTCTGCAGGCCTCTAGCCAGGGCCCAGCCCAGGCACGTCTTCCCCTCCCTCCCCTGGGGACCCAGCCTGGCCTGGCGGCTGTGTGAGGTCAGAGGTCACCCCGCCCCCAGCTCTGTTCCTGGAATGAGGACAGACCAGTTGTGTCAGTGGAGCTGGACAAAAGGCCACACTGGAGGGCGGCTGTGGACCACCCAGTGACCAGGGTCTGCTGGGCGCCCCTCCTAGACCAAGTCTAAGGGGGGGAAAGGTGGGGAAACTGAGGCACCAAGCACACACATCCCTGCATAGGCAGCTGGCACCCCCTGCTTGTGGGCACTGGAGGCCCCCCATCCCCACTGCAGCCCCTCTGCTCCCGGGGACATACCCAGGAGCCAGCAGCTCTGGGGTCCTTGGCTGAAATGAAACTTTCCCCTTTCCTCAGTGGCCCCCAGATACTGCCCTCCCCACTGCTGCTAACCAGGTTCAGTGCTTAGTTTCACACACACACACACACACACACACACACACACACACACGTGAAAAATCCCAACACCCTGGGACCCAGGCCCCTGTCCCCACCCTAGCTGGCTCCTCAGGTTTGGTTTGCCTGCCCAAAGGGGCCCTGCCTTATGACAACCTTATCTCCCGGTAGCTGGTACAGGGCTGACCTCTGGCCTCCGACCCCTGAGGCCTTCCTGGGAGGCATACTGAGACCACGGAAGGTTGGGGCTTGCCTCTGCCGCTGGTGTGGAACTGGGCCACAGGTGGAGGTGGAGGAGTAAGCCACCTCCACAGGCAGGGCCAGCCCAGGGTTGGGGCCTGCTCCAGAGGTGGCCACGCTGTCCTGAGTTCGGACAGGTGTCACTTGCGTTTGAGGAGGGGGCTGGGGGCCTGCGGGGGGCGGGGGTCCCCTCCAGCGGGTACCCCCCTCGGGCTTATTTTGTTGGGGCCACAGCATTGAAGTAGATAAAAGGTGAATGTGCAGCCTGTGCAGCTGCCTGTGTGTACGAGCTATGCATGTGTGTGTGTATGTCCAGGCGTGTGTGTATGAGCTGTGCATGCATGTGCGCGTGTCTGCAGGGTGCGTGTGTGTACGAGCTGTGTATGTGTGTCCGCGTCTGTCCAGGCGTGTGTGTATGAGCTGTGCATGTGTGTGCACATCTCCAGGCATGTGTGTACGAGCTGTGCATGAGTGTGTGTGTCTCCAGGTGTGTGTACGTGCATGTCCAGGTGTGTGTGTGTGTATGTATATGAGCTGTGCACGTGTGCGCACATGTCTCCAGGGTGTGTGTGTGTATGAGCTGTGCATGTGTGTGTGCGTCTCCAGGTGTGTGTACGAGCTGTGCATGTGTGTGCACATGTGTCCAGGTGTGTGCGTGTACAAGCTGTGCATGTGTGCACATGTGCTGTGCATGTGTGCATGCGCCTCCATGCGTGTGTATGAGCTGTGCATGTGTGTGCGTGTCTCCAGGGGGTGAATGTGTCCAGGGTATGTGTGTACAAGCTGTGCATGCATGTGTCCAGGGTGTGTGTGTGTGTGCATGTGTACGAGCTGTGCATGCGTGTGTGCGTGTGTCTGGGGTGCATGTGTGTGTCCAGGCGCGCGCGTGTGTGTGTTCACCCTCCCTGGAGCAGCAGCACCCTCACTCCCAGTCCCTGGAGGAAGCAGTGTTGGGTGAGCTCCTGCAGGGCAGGGTGAAGCAATGCCCTGAGGGAGGGGTGGAGCTAGACTGGTTGGTGATGTGTTCCCCCCCAGCAGGAAAGGGGTGGACGAGGTGGGGAGGTCTTTCCGGGCATGGAGAGCTGCACGTGCAAAGGCCCTGGGGCGCAAGAATCAGAAATGAAGGCAGGTACCCCTGGGCCAGGGGCCAGATGACCATCAGGGACAGGGCCTGCCCAGCCGGGTCACCTGGAGAATCTGTGCAGCCAGGACAATTATGATGGAGTGGCCAATGGCACCAGGCCTGCAGTAGGAGCCCTCCAGCCCTCACCCCCCAGGGCCTTCTCGGGGTGGGTCGCCCTGGGCACCTCTCCATCAGCTGTGACCACACAACCCCCTACGGCCCCTCAGACGAGCACCCGATTTAGGGGACCCTGCTGGTCCCCAAGACCCTCCCACCATCCTGACCTCTAATGCCCTAGGACACTGTTGCTGTCAGGGGCCAGCCTCAGGCTGGGTGGCACCAGTGCCCCATAGGGCGCCCTAGGTCGCCACTGCGGGGCCTGAGGCGCTGGACGTCCTAGGTCGCAGCTGCGGGGCCTGAGGCGCTGGACGGCAGAAGCGGGCTGCACACGGCCATCCTCTCTGCGGAAGGTGCACGTTCCTGGAAGCCACCGAGCAGTGTTTCCTAAGTGGGTGATACCGCCCCCCACCTTTGGGGGGGGTTCTGGGGCGACGGGCTGGGGGGGGGCACTGCAAACACAGATGCTAACACTTCATCCTGGATCAGGGGCTAGAGGGCAAACACGGGTTTCATTGCTGGGGGCGGGGACGATGACGCTGAGTTCTGAAACGTTTGTCTTCTGAAGAGGAGGCGCAGGAGGCCAAGTGAGTTAGGGTTGCAGTGACCAGGAAGGATTCCAGGGCAGAGGACTCGGGCCTCAGGGAGGTCCTCTGTGGTGGAATCACCCAGAGAGCCGGCCACGTGGCTTGGTAGCTAGATGGCTGCGTCCATGTGTGCGGGCTGTGGGTCCAAACAGGGCCAAACCCTTGGCAACACGGGCCTTTTCTCTGTTGATCACGATGTTTCTCGGTCCAGAAGTGAAGATACGGGTCTTCCACACCACAGACTGCCATCCTCGACCTTCATCAGCAAGGGCTGCAATCCTCCTCCCTTTCGGGGAGCAGGGCCCGTCACCTGCACACCGAGGGGCTTTGATGGGCCTTCCCCCAGTGCTGATGCCCCACTCTTCTTCGGGAGCTCCAGCTGCTCTGAAGGCCTGAACAGAGATTGGACAAGGGTGGCGACAACGCCGCACCCCGGCCACGCTCCCTTCTTCCGTTGACAAGCCCGCCGCGTGCTCGGCTCGGTACTGCATACACCGCAGAGTGCCGGACCGTGAGCGCAGCTGCCCGGAAGAAGCCTCACGTGGAGCATCGAGGATGGCAAGGCTCGGTCTCATCTACTTTGGGCATGCTGTCCGGAGGGGCCGGTCCCCAGAGAAGGGCACCGCGGCTGGTCCAGGGTCATCGAAGGGGAAGCCCCTCAGCGACTGGACTAACAGGGCAGCTGCTCAGTGAGCTCACCTGAGGCCGGACGGGCCGGGGGCACGGCTTTATCCTGTGGTTCACAGGGTCGCTGCTGAGGTAGAACCGGGTGGTTGGCAACACACCACACACCTGTCTGCATGCACAGCACTTGGGCTGTCTGCCTGGGCGCGGCGGGCAGGTGTGGACAAGCGCTCAACGGCCCGCACCGAAAGGCACACACAGAGCGGGGAGGGGCGGGGACGCCTCGGGTTGACATCGCCTGGCCACGGAACGTTATTGATTTCCAATATCGACTCAGCACTGCTGGCACTGGGTCCAGGTCAGGGCGGGCACCCTGTGCACGGCAGGGCGTCGAGCAGGACCCCTGGCCTCCCCCCACTCAGTTCCGTTAGCCCCCACGCCAAGTCACGGCACCCTCAGATGCCCCGAGACCACGGGACACAGTCCCCCAGGACCAGGGTCGTGCTTCCATCCAGAGCCAGGCTCAACAGTGCTGGGCCCAACCCTCTGCCCACCCACCCCACACCTGGGCGCTGCAGGCAGTGCCCCCCAAAAACACCACAGAGCCGTTGTCTTCTGTTAAAAGTCAGAAGTGTTTTTGTCTCGTTTTAATATCTCATCAACTTTACAGGGTTACAATTGTCTTAAATATTTCTGAGGTTTAAATACAATCTGCATAATAATGTTATTATAAAATGTAAACTTTCAGTGTTCTTTTAAATTTCAAAATCACACCCTCCCCCCCCCCTTTTTTTGGTCTTTTATGCTCTTTTTTTTTTTTTCTTCCTTTAATACCTGAATGCTTTGCAAAACTGAAGCAGCCCCGGCTGTCCCGCTGTGCGCAGGGCAGGCTGGGCCCGGCCAGAGGTAGAATGTGGTTTCTGCTGGGTTTTTAGAAAAAGCTTTTATCCTTTTTACCTGAGTTCAGGCGTGGAGCCCACGCTGCTAACAGACCCCAGTGTGCCTGGTGTTTTTCAATCCGACAGGGAAGGGCTGAGTGTCACTTGATTGCCAAGAAAAGAAAAAGAGCGAGTGGGGACAAAGCGGGCAAAAACGATAAAAGCAAAAAACAAAACAACAACAAGGTGACTGTACAAAGGCCATGTGGGTTACAGACTCACCCACCACCCCACCCCGCCCCGCAGCCAGACAGCCAGACCTGGCCAGCTCTAGGGTCACAAGGAAGATTCTGGAAGCAGCCCATCCACAAACGGCGGCAGGGCAGGGGAACCCCCCTTCCTGGCCCTGAGCACCCGGGGTCCCTGAGTTTGTGGGACTCCCAGGCGTGTCATGCCACTAACTCTGTCCCCCTATGGAATCGAGAGCGTGCAAGTGGGGGAGGGGGGGTCCCTGTGGCCAAGACTGCTGCCCCCGTGCCCCCTGGTTTGCCCCCTGGTTTGCATCAGGGATGCTGAGCTGCACCCTCAAAAGCCACTCCTTCCGTGAGGCCTCCCCAGTCGGCGGGGCGTGGGCATGGCTGGGGGCTGGACAGAGGCCAACACAGGGCTCCTGGCCCAGAGCGTGCAGGACACAAGGGTCCCAGGACCCTCCTCACCTCTCCCGCGCCCCCTTCAAGCACTCCTCCTGAGTCAGCCAAGAAGCCCGGCCCCACGAGCCCCTACAGCCATAGGGGCTCAGCAGCAGGCCCCGTCCCCTGAGTTAAAAGCCTGCCCAGCTGAGGGGCCCATGTCGCAGGCAGCCCCCTTGACACCCGGACTCACAGCTCCACCGCACATGGGTGGACAAGGTGCCCAGCCCAAGGGGCTGCCGCGGGGGCCCCCTGTACCTTCCGAGAGCCCTGGGTGGGCTTGGGGCTCAGGCTTTGGCATCTAAGTCAGTGCTGAGGTAGACAGAATGCAGACCCACCCCCTATGGGGCAAGGACACCCAGAACACCGAGTGGGGCACAGACGGCCAGCGTCCCTCTTTGGGGAGAGAAAGACCCCTTTCCCTCCATGATTGTGCTAGGGGCCTGCCCCCCGCCCGCCCCCCCGGGAAGGAGGAGAGAACCTGCCACAGTGAAAGCCCCCAGGCGCCTCACTCCCCACTCCCCACAAGAGAGGGGGCCCGAGTGACCCTGAGACAGGCCACAGAAACGGGGTTCCCTCCCCTAAGACCCAGCAAAGGCCCTCGCCCCAGAGCTCCTCATCCCCAAAGACAGTTTCCAAGGCAACACAATGGAGCCAGAGCCAGGGAGGTGCCCCCACCCCCACAGGCCAGTGAGACACCCCAGCTCCCTGGGCCCAATTACAGGCGGAGCTTCCACAATCGCCTGGGAACCATGGGGTTAGCACCGCCCCCTGGAGAAATTAAAACCCAGCACATAACTACCTAACTAGCCGCCCAGTAAGACGCCAGGGTCCCCTTGGGGCCAGGCCGCCCGGGGGACGGCGGCAGGCATTGGGTAAGTGAGGGGTCTGGGGTGTCTCTGCACTTGGAGTGAATCCCCAGTGCACCTTCTAACCTGGGGTCCACGCGAGGGTTGGGGCAGCAGGTGCCAAATGAGACGAGAGAACTGCCCAGCCGTGGGGTGGGGGGAAGCTGGTGGCTCCACAGATGAGGGGCCGGGCAGAAACAAAGCCAAAGCCAAGAGGGGCAGAGGCCTGAGGGGAGTCCCCCGGGTGGGCCCCCCAGACCCCGCCTGGGCAGGGCCAGCTTCTGGCCTGCCCTCAGTAATGATGGCCCCTAAAAACAGCCCTTTACGGTGGGAGGCCAGAGGCTGCCGCGGGAGCACCCCCCCACCCCAGGCCACATTCATCCCTGAGACAGATCCTGGGGGCGGGGGGCGGCGGCAAGCAGGGCTCCCCATCTGTCCTACCCTCTCACAAGCACCCCAAGACTCCCAGGTCCCTGACAGGAGTGGTCATCGGCAGAGGGCAGGGCAGTCTGAGGGGCAGCAGAGGGGACGAGGCTGGACAGTCAGCACCGGCGTGCCCCTGCCCCCAGCCTGCCCATCAGGAGCCCAGTATCCAGGGGGGGCCAGCCACCTCCCAGAGAAGGCACCCCGGGACCCCAGCCCCTCATGGGAAAGAGAGATGATTACAAATGTGTGGGGGTGCTTTCTTTTACGTTTTCTCCTGTTTTTTTTTCTTTTTGCCTTCCGTTTTCAAGTACGAGTTCCCTGAATGAACACGAGTGGCTATCGCTGTCCTTGGACTCAGGCGGAGAGAGCAGAGTATTTACAAAAGGAAAGCCCGGAGCTCTGGGGACCCCTCGGGGACTGAGTGTTGCCGCTTCTCTTGGTAAGAGAACACAGACGCCTTTGCAAAACCCCGAGGGGGCGGGGTGGGGCAGAACCACCAGGAGTCAGGTAGGGGCCTGGGCAGGGGCTGCCCACCTGCAGACACACCTGCCTGCGACTTCCTCTGCTGTCCTAATTCATCTCTCCAGCGTCCACAACCTGAGAAATTCCAGTCTTCCTTGGTTCCCCCGTTTTATTAAACTTTCTTTATATAGATCTGTAGATATATATTTTCTTCTCTGCGTTTTTGGCATCAGCTGTGGCCCCTCCCTCCCCACCCGTGTCTCCCGGCACCTGGCCCCATGGCCCCCCTCCACCCCTGCCCGGCCGGCGGGGAGGCGGGCGGGAGTGACTCTCTTAAGGCACCGAGTTAGCTGAGGTAGACGAGGAGGGCGCGGCGGGTGGGGGTCCGGCCTGGCTGCCCGAGCTGCTGCTGCCGCCGCTACTGCTGGTCCCGCCGCTGCCTCCGCGGCCCCCGCCACCCCCACCGCCGCCTTTGCTGGGAGCCGCGGGTGTTGTGGAAGCCGGCGCCTGGGCGAAGAGCACCCCTAAGATGTGACGGGAGAGGCTGGTCACCAACGGGCAGGGGACCTGCTGCTCCCCATCGACAGAGCACCTCTGTCCCTCTCTCACACGGGCACACACACAGGTATACACACAGTCTCTCTCACACACATACGGCTTTACACACCATCTCTCCCCCACTCACTCGCACAGAGAAATGCACCATCTCTCACACTCACAGGGAGTAATCCATCATGTTACTCACACTCACATCGAGTAATCCACTATCTCTCACTCACACTCAACGGAGTAATCCACCATCTCTCTCACACTCACACGGAGCAATACACCATCTCTCTCACACTCACACGGAGCAATACACCATCTCTCTCACACTCACATGGAGTAATCAACCATCTCTCTCACTCACACTCACATGGAGTAATG